TGAAGTCACCGGGAAAATCCCGTGAATTTACATGACAAATCTGGAAAAATATACCTCGTCCTCTCTTCGAAAACAATAAGATTTCAAAACCCTTGGACTGGACTAGATTTTCAGGATAACTACAGTCACTTTGAAGAACTATTATTAGAATTTTTAATTTTTTCCAAAACAAATTTGAGCAGATTTTAGAATAAATTCTAGAAATAACACCAAGGTATTTCAGAGACAATTTTCTAGGGAGCTTTAGGAAGAAGAATTCTGGAAAGATCTCTGTGACAGTAAATTAATCTAAAGGAAAAGCTGCCCCGTAACGTGGGTAGATCACCTTTTCGTGGTACGTTACGGGATGTAAGATCTACCACCGATTCCTAGTCCTGACTACTTCAAACTAGGGAAACCGGATTTTCAGTAATCCAAGGAACACATCTTAGTCCTTGTTACTTTTTATGCCTTGTTGATAGTGACAAGACTCGGCTTTGTCTACCGAGGATGATCTTGAAACAAGGAAAAAAATGAGTTAGTTGTCTTCATCTATGTGATTCCTAATCTTCGACCCCGACCCCGCACAACGAACGTCAATCATTAGTCAACCAGCCCTGCTGGGAGCCGGCGGAGGAACCGGATTTGCACCGAATTTTTCACCGCCCGAGTATAATCCTTCGGAAAACTGGAAACCAACACCGACCGGAACACGCCAACTGCATTCAACCGGCACAGCAACAGGGCGCAGTGATGATGGTCTACGAACTCGATAACAACACAGCTAACACCGATAAGCTGTTCAATCTGTCCTGCCTGTAAGGAAATGTCAGGATAAAGTTCCCAAATACCAAAGAGGGTACCACCATGGTCCAGATGGGAGACGCCATCGCAGTCGAACCAGTCGAACGCAGCATCCAGCACTTGAACAACATTGAATGAATGGAAATGATGGTAGCAAAATTCAAATTGCATTTTCCAAGCAGAACTACTTGTCAGAGTCCATCAACCCACCGTACACCATGCCGGACAATTCGATCAGCTTCAAGGTCTACAGCGCCTCCAAGAACAATCGCTTCCAAGGCCAGCAAAAATCGCATTTTCCACTTCTTCAATACCCCACCCGTATGCCGTCCGAGGATCTCCTCCTGCAAGTGCTAATGTTTCCGCTGAAATCGGAAAGTTCCTCCTCCGGATTGGTCGGGAACTCGCGAGCGTAGCCTTGGCGGTGAACGCCATCATGAAGTGCAACCACAGCCAGGCATAGAAAATCATTTGTATTCATTTCGTGCATTCATTTACATTCACTTGCCTCTAACTTTTTTCACCAACAGCATTCCGCAAAATGATGTATATAGATTTTGTATGTTTTGTTATTAGCTACAACTTTTGTTAACAAGTCAAATCCGTATCTCTGATGCATGACGAACCAGAGTGAACAGAAACCACTATTGTTTTTCAGTGAATGGAATGTAAAATACATTCACTGAAAACAGTAACAAGTTCTGCCCACTCTAGTTCGTGGTGCATAAGAGATACAGATTTGAGTTATGAACAAAAGTTGTAGCTAACAAAACCCACAAAACATCTATACATCATTTTGCGGAATGCTGTTGATGAAAAAAGTTAGAGGCAAATGAATGTAAATTAATGTATGAAATGAATGTAAATGATTTTCCATGCCTGACCACAGCGCGACCGATCACAATTGCACACTATTCCCGTTCATTATGAAGCTGTGCTCATCCTCCTCCTCCTCCAAAAAGAATAACGGTGGAAGCTTCTTTTTCTGAGAAAAGAAAGGATGTATTCGTCAGTCCGCATCGTGCTCTCTTGCCGTGCGGATCTATTTGCTTTTTGCTGAAAGATGAAGGAAGTGTTACTACTACCTAAAGCTACAACAAATTTAAACAGCACTTTTCAGTGCTCAACCTGTAAAATTTCTACCTTGTTCAACTCTTATTCCTCTTCGATCCTTGTTTGGACCCTACCCGAGGTAATCCTTCTTGGATATCGATTTGGAAAATTCCTCTTCGATCCTTCAGATTCGTATAGTAATCTGCTTGGAAGTCGATTTGGATAAAAATTTACTGTCGCCATGGCGCCTAGGCGTAAAAGAAAAGGGAAAAATCTTAATCCCCCTTCTAATGAAATTATTTTGAGCAATCAATTTGATTTGCTCACGGATGATGAGAATGATCCATCATCCAAGAAAAATTCTAGTAAAATTTCCCGGCTTAATGCCAAGAAGGAAAAGATCCCCCTATCGTGATAACAGGGCTGGTAGCAGGTCACTTTTTAGTGACTTGGTCACTATTTTGAAGCCAGTCACTAAAAAGTCACTTTTTACACCAAAAAGTCACTAAAGTCACTTTTTCGCTACTTAAAATATAGTGAAATTTAAAAATACAAACAAAATGTTTAAATTGAGTACTTGGCACTAAGAAAGTCTACAGTAGTTTTAACAAAATATGCATATCTGTTAAAAAATTTAATTAGGGTGACCAGTGAATTGCAAAACTTTAGAACACCAGGAAAACTATTGGGAAATGCCTTTAATTTCGATTAAAAATAGGGGAAAATATACCTCCTTTACCAGAAAATAAATTGTAAGCCTTGGAAACGTTCTAAAGGTATTTGCCTATGATAGATTTTCAAAAGTCTTTCAAGGATAATAAGAACTTTAAGAAATCCAAAGTAAATTTAAGAGAATTTGAAACGATTCTAAGGATGACACCAAGATATATCAGAGAAGTGAAAATAAGTGCCGATTTCTTCATCTCCGCTTAAATCTTAAGCCAGGTTTACCTACATAGTTAAACTTGGCTTATCACATACGAGCGTCGCTTTTGATTATTGTTTAAATTATTAGAGACGCAAAATTCAGCTCCGAAACAATTTTGGAAATAATTCCAATATAATTGAGAGTGAATTTTAACGACAGTTCTGAGAAGAATGATTGGATGCGGATTCTATGTCCAATTCTAATAAGAATTCAAAATTAGTTTTGAAATTTTGGTTAAGGGAGCTCTGATGAAAATTCCATGAAAATCCCGTGAACTTCAAGATGGTCAAGATGGTAGTTCTAAAAGAATTCTGGGGTGATTTATGAAGATACTTCCAAGCGAATTCTTAAGAGTTCAAAATAAATTCCGAGAATAATTGAGATCGAATCGAATTTTGAGGGTTCAATCTCAAAGGAATTCTGAGAAGATTTTCAAAGTTATTCTGTGATGGATTTTTGTTTTGATAATTCTGAGGAAATACTATGGGAATTCTAAGAAGAATACGAATTGAATTTCCAATTGAATGCAGGGGAGAAGTCCAGAATTATTCTAAGCATAAATTTATGAAATTTCTGAGGTCAATTGCATGGAAATTTCTTAAGAGAATTCAAATAAATTTAAAATGGATTTATGGAAGGAGACTTCAGGGAGCTCCAAGAAGAATCCATAAAAACTAAAATAATCTACTTTAACTAATCATGTGTGAATTTACCGATTTACATAGTCGGAGATGCTTAACGTCAAATATCGGACTTAAAGTAGATATTTCATACGATAGATGAGGAGATTAAATTATAGAGTTGATATTTCCTTTATAGTACAACAGTGTGAAAGTTGTATATACAAAGTAGAAAGCGAGCAAAGGACAATTTTAAGGAAGGTACGGATCGGGTAGTTGTTTACGTCAGATGGCGACTAGAGTGTGAAACAACCGATAGAACTGTTTCTCCGCACATCGGAGGTACATGAACAAATCGGCGAGCATCCCTTTTGCCAGTGGTGGCAGGGGGAAACACCCCTCACCATCCCTCATTGCAGATGAGCTTGGTAAAGGAGATGCTCTACCCGATTAATTAATTAATTTATCTTTATTAGGGAGGCTTTCAGCCTGGGGCTGGTTCGCCTTTCTCTACCCGATTCTTACCTTCCTCAAAATTGTCATTTGTTCGCTTTCTACTTTCTATATACAAATTTCACACTGCCGGAACTATCAACTCTTTACTGTCATCTCCTCATCTATCGTATAAAATGTCCACTTTAATGCTGATATTTGATCTTAAGCATTTCGAACTACGAAAATAATCTATTTCCAAGAATTTTGTTGAATGTTCTGCAAAGAATTTCAAGAATGTAATATTATTTTTGTAAAAGCTTATTTTCCTCTAAGTTTAAAAGAAGGGGAATTATATCATTCTAAAAAAGTTCTTGAGATCATTCTGAAGAAATTCTGTGAAAAGTTTCTAGCGAATTATCAAAGTTATCTACCTAGATATATCAAAATTTCAAAGATTTCGAACGCAGAATCATATTCAAGATCATAAAAATGGGAATTACGATTTGCTAGTCATCATGTATAACGTAAGCAAAAGTAAATTATTCAAATCACTTCGAATGCTCGTCACAGGAGATTCCGTTGTGAGATTCGATTAAATTAGAGGAATTTGTGAAATTTGACTTTAAGTTCCATGACATAAAAAGTTTATTTCAATATCAAACCGTATTTGAATTTCTAAGTAACCATATAAATGGTTACTTATTTAGTATTTAGAAGTCACTATTTCCGCCATTTTAGTCACTAAAGTCACTACTATTATATCGCATCAGCACTACCAGCCCTGTGATAACCACTTCCGATTTCCATGCTCTTCGCATGGAACTTTTGAACTTCGTGAAAGTTAAGTTTTCACTACAAATTGGACGTCGGGGTGAATGCCGTGTATTGGCTGAAACCTTGGACGGGTTTAAATGTCTTCTCAAGTATCTTACTGAGAAGCAGCACAAATTTTTTACCAAAAACTGAACGTAAAACTGTAAAACTGAACGTAAATTCGTAACCAAAACGGAACGTTCAAGGTTGTCATGAAAGGACTACCCAGTGGTGAATCCCTGGATCAGATCAAATATGAACTGGCAAAATTACTTGGAGTTGTGCCACTCCAAGTAATCAAAATGAAAATGAAATCCCGTCCTGGCGATTCGCGTAATCTAATTTCACATGTTTTTTTCTCTTTCCAGGTAAAAATCTGGTTCCAAAATCGTCGCACCAAATGGAAGAAACAGGACGGAGATTCATCGGTGACGGCGCCGGCGGCGGCGGCTGGTTCCGCCACTCAAAACAAGGAACCCAAAACGTCTAAAACTCCTTCCTCCTCACCGTTAACTCTGTCCTCTCCAACTCCATCGTTTCCGTCATCTTCCTACTCTCCGCGTCCTTCCACTTCGACTCCAGAAGACCGAAGCTTCCAACCCGCCAAAGTAGCCCCTAAGCATTACACCAAGCACAGTGCCAAAGTGCGCAGGTCAAAATCCGGCGATCACATCACCGATCTCCCCCAAGAACCTCACAAGCTCGCAAAGGATCCGAAGAAATTCCAAAGCCCATTGGAACCATTCATACTCGATCGGACGGCGAGCCCCTCCAACGATGTTGAGGCACGCATTTCGGCGTCGAAAATTTCTCTCGATGCGATTTGCAATGCCACCAACTTTCTTTTGAAGCCATCACCGCCACCTAGCAGCAGTTCCTCTCCGCAATCCCTTCCCCTGCCGCCCCCGTTGCCGAGTGATCGACCTTTTCCGTTAGGGGTCCAGGACATGACCGACATGGAATAGTAGCTAACCACTAGGAGACATATCTATGCAATACTCATCGTCAACCTTATCTTCTGCAGTGTTTGTGTGCTTCACCCACCTCCTGAATGGAAGAAATCTAGTTACGAATATCCAGAAAGTCATTTGAAATACAAACAAAACCGCTAGTCTTAAGTCGTTTCGGATAGTTGCAAATCATCAAAAACCATTAAAGTGAGAGATTGATACAATAAATGAAAACAATTAAAAATATTTGGAAATCTTACGTTTCTGCTTCTCTGTTCTTTTATTCATTATAATAATAATAATAATAATAATAATCATCCATCGATTAGTAATAACATACTTTTTCAGTTTTTGTTTTCTTGAATACAACGATTGTTTTGTTTTGTTTTTTTGGAGGGGAAAATGAACATTTATTGGCACTGACTGACCATACAACGAAGACCTCTGGAGATTATTTTTTTTTTTATTGACATTGGTCCCATAAGAATAACGGTACTTGAGATTATTTGCTTTAGTTTGCTTACGGTTGTTTAGCTTGCTGCTGTTTGATTCTTTTCTACGATATAAACTTTAACAATAATAACTATAAAATAAAATAAAACGTGATTCATGATATTAGTGTTGCTGAAATTGGTTAAGTTGATTTGCTTGGACTAGTTTTAGTTTTGTTTTTACCTCTCCTCCTATTTCACTTGTTTCCCTTCTGTTACATGTTGCTGGGTTTTTCTTCTTCTTCTTCTTCTTCTTCTTCACAACTAATAAAACGAACTAAGAAAATATCATGGTTTAGGCACTTGGTAATCAAAAATTTGGAATGTTTGGAAACTGTTTTTTTGATACATTCTCATTTGTTGTTTGCTTTTGCTTTGTGTGGTGTGATTGTGTTTTTTTTTGGGTGTATACCTATATTGATTTGCTTTTAGTATAATGTTTGTTTTTGTTTTTCTTGCCATCTAGTGGTGTGAAGCTACGAGTTTATACTTTGCTCTCAGGTCCCTCGGTGTAATGCTCGAAAAACTTTTTGATTCTCGATAGATATTGCTGACAGATGTGACCGTAGTTTTTGTTGTACCAATCCGGCGTGCGACCCCTGGAATGAGAAATTGTTCGGTCAGTGCTATACTGTTAACCATTGAAAGTTGGCAGTCATACTTCATGTCCACACGGGAGAGATGCATCAATTTGCATTTGCCACTACCGCAGGGTTCGATGAGGTATCGGGATGCCAAAACGACGCCTCGTATCCCACCCAGCAATAGTTGAGCACCATTATGAGAAATAGAAACCTCGACGATGACGCAAGCGCCACGGGCTTGCTGTTTATTCCATTGTCTGTTGAATAAATTCGGAATGTTGAAGTATACGCTGAATGGAATATCACGAATGTTATACCTTAAAACACAGTAATCGGTAATCGGTTGTCCACACACGTATTGAAACACGTCCGTATCGCTATCCAGCCGCTCGACGACCCTCGATTTGAGCAGATGGTCGTCCCACAGGTGCCGTTCGTTTAGGATGTGGTTAATCACTTCGGTCGGAGGTGCCTCCACCTCAGTCACAGCCTTCCACAATCGCAACGGATGCCCGTCGCCGACCTTTTTGAAGTACACGGTTACGCAAGGATCCGAGGAGTTGAGCGACACCCATCCGCGTGGCCTGTAGAGATAGAGTGATCCGTCGGTTAGGTCAGATGATGTGCCACAAAAGAGGCTCTCCATAATTCCGGAGGTACCTACCAATTCAACCCATTCATGGTGACTGATTCTATATGGAATCATTTTTAAATTTTGGAATTACGCTTGTCAGAGAGCTATAACGGTGAAGTGCACCATTTATGTATAGCTGCAGCATTTCTTTCGGTTGGTGGACTTGGCCATCGTGCCGCGTTTTGAGGAACAGATATATCGGAAACGCTGCATTACGTAGGGCTCGTGAGAGATATGAGTATCCTGTTTCGAACCTACCAAGGACAGGAAGTTGCAGATACGCGGAGCCCTGGGGGTGCGGTTGCAAGATAAGGAATATGGCTTTCCGGATGCTAAAAGTACGGTGCGGATAGTGTGGAAAGTCTAATTCAGCTTCGATCAGCCTAAATGACTTTAGTTATCACCACATAGTCCAGATATTAATGGATGGAATTTACACCTATAACACAACGATCCAATTCAAATAAACGAGCAACGGTTGGAAGATTCTCATGACTGATTCCTGTAACACGGTGAACGAATCACGGTTAGTGATACAACCAAGGCGTTGAATGTTTGAAAGTGCAAGGAGAATGCGCGGCATAATTCAATTAATTTTCAAAATAGGAGCCATCATCACTTTAAATGTGCCTTAAAGGTATTCCCTGCCCTTTGGTTCAGTAAGGGTTTGGGCGCGTTCTGCCAATTTGGTCGAGGCAGATTTCAAGTGTGAGTCGGTGACGAATGGTTGTTATGTGGAACTCACTCTTAATGATCTATACTTGATCTTTTGTGTGAATGGGTGCGTTCCATATTTCATCATATGGAAGTTCAAAAGCGCCTGAATGAAATATGACGCTTGCGCCGATCACTTGAAGATGTGGTATGACGGAACATTCTTACTGATAATGCGACTATTAAACTTCCAACAATTGCTCCTTGTCGCGTTAAATTGAGATGTTCCCTCATTCCACATCCGTTAAACCAATGGCCATCCCGTTGTGTTTTATCACAATAAAGGTAACATTGGACTTATCTGTATCTTTTCCGGTGTCAACGGCGGAGTCATCGCAGAAAAGGCGCCAAGAAACAGTGCAGTAGCAAAATGAAACACATGCGATACGACAGTGGAGTGATCCTGGTTCCACAATTTTACAAGACGCAGCTAGGAACGCATGATCATTTTGTGAAGATCATGGAATTACGCCGAAATTTCGTGGATCATATTAGGAATAATAAGGAAATCACTAACAAAAACCACCAGGGAGATGGCACACTTGGGGGAAACTGCAGAAGCACGTATAGATACATTTCTGGAACGCCTAGCCGTCTCTAATGAATGGAGCTGTGAAGAGTCAATAGCAGCTGCGACCACACTCTTCAGAAGAAACATAGAAGTTTTCCATGAGCAAGGCCCAGTAATAACATTTAATAGAAGTGATGGAGCTTACGGAGTGTTGAAAATTGCATATCGCACTTCCAATAGAAGAAGCCGAAATGTAACACGGAACCATTATGACAGTGTAGTTCAAAAATTGATAATCAACTCGGAAAGAAATACTCCTAATGCCAATGCAGAAAACAGTGATTTGCTTCCCCCCGTTTCGCACTTTCGGAATATCCAGGTCAGCCCAAATGCATCGCAACTAACTACCTATAGTCGCTATATTCATAGTCTGGCGGATAGAATTTCGATCTATCAAAAAGCGGAACCAAGTTAATATATTTTAGACCAACAATTGACAAGGTACTATCAAGTTTTATAAACAAAACATTGATTATTCTTTCCTCACAAATCGAACGCAAATTAACGGCATCATCGGATAGGGGAAACTTTCCCCAACCCAAAGATGGTGTTAGTTTGCGTAGGCGAGCATTTAGTCATGAGAAAAGGGTTTCCGAAGTTTTGTTCGCAATAACTGATGTGCTCTTTTCTGTTGTTGGTCGTGATTTGCTCGATTGGTTCCGCTATTTGACAGCTCAATTGGTTCCCGAGATTCTATCCGCCAGACTATGAATATAGCGACTATACTAACTACAGGGTCGGGCGTGGATTCGCAGCACTCAGTGAGACCAATCCAACAGGTGGATAAATTTGCCTTTGCTAGCTGGAATGCAATGGATGATCATTTCATACGGAGCAATTATATGTTAATTGCGTTACAAGAAAGAAACTCGTCTAGCGCAATGCACACATCAAAATGATTTAACGTCAATACGGAAGAACGACCCCGCGACAGAATAGGTGGAGGTACGGCCATTCTGGTGGCGAAATGCATAAGCAAAGAGCATAGCTTTCGAAAGATAAGTAACAACTCTTGCTTGTACAGCTGCGAAATATTTGGGGAAAAAGTAATGCTCATATCAACATACGCTAGTAGAGGAGGAATTCAGGCTGAAAACAAGGAGTTTGGCAAGTTAAGGGTTTATTTGCTCAGTGCTCAGTATGAATCGGGAGAGAATAATTGTAGCTGGAGACATGAACGCAATAATTGGGAAAAATGAAAACGACAAATTGCTTATCGGGAATAACCTTCTACATGATTACAGCAACCAAAATGGCTCGGCGTTGAAAAATCTCATGCATGGGCTTGGACCGAAAAATTATCTCACTTTCAGTAATTCACCGTCAGTTACGATCACTTGGACGAATGGAAAAAGCGAGTCCCAGAAATGCCGTTTATGGAGATTCCTGATACCCGAGCATATTTTAACCCGGCGCTCATAAGTGATCATAAAATGATGTACCTCAAAGTGGGAGAAAATACTCCCATCTAAGCCTGGGAGATCTCGTAGCCAGTCCCCACCGAAAAAAAAATGAGGTTCGATATGGAAGGTTTAAGGAAATATGAGGAGATACAGGAGAAGTTCCAGGATAAAATCAACCGACGATTGCGACGACGGTCGAATCGTCCATTATTGGAGCAGCTAAAGAGACGCTGAATAAAACGGGATCACCCCCACTCCTCGCAGGGTAGAAGCATCCAAGCGATACTTTACAGCGCAACAGAAACGTTTGGAGGACAGAAAAAACAGTCTTTTGAACAAGGAAGCAAAACAAGCTAGAAAGGAAAAGCAAAAAGCATAACAAGATCACTTCGAAGAAAAAGTCAGCAAATTTCTACTAGACATCGAAGAAGAAAACCCTCTGTCCAAAATTTAAAAAAAGTTTCGATTCATCAAACAGCATAAGAAACAGAAGGAGTCAAATAATAAGAAAGACATAAACGTACAATAGTGGGACTGAAAACTGAAAGAGATGGCTAATGCTGGATCGGACGATGATATCGAGCTGCTAGTAGGACATGATTGCAGGGATGCTGGTTCGGAATCTATTTTGGAGGAAATCAATGAATTCTTCAAGTATGGGTCAGAGGAGCTTCTATAGAAGATGACAGATCCCATGAAGAAAGTTTTCAGAACCAATCAGGTTCCTAAAGCCTGGTAAGGAACTGTTCAAGTCCCCATTCCAAAGGTTCCATATCCGCAAAACGCCGAAGACTATAGATGCATCACTCTTTGCTCAACGGCGTACAAAATCTATGCAAGATTGCTTCTGAAACGCTTGTCCGACCAAGTCGGTCCTCTACCCGGTGGCCTTTCATCAAAAAAGGAGTGCTTCGTCTAATATTGGATGAACGATGGAGAAAAGGGAAGCAAACAATCCTGGTTTCACTTGACAGACTGGACATATCAAAAGCAGCCACCATTCTCGCCGAAATAGGTGTTTCAACCCTCTTAAATGGAGCGTAGTAAGAAAGCTTTACCATTGTCTAATTACACCAGTGGTGACGCACTCCGTGGAAATAAGACAAATCGTAATTCACTGCGGAGAATGGAACAAGAGATGCTAGTGACTCTTCATAATTTGTGTCATGACGACACAGAAGTGCCTGCGAGGAATGATACTGAGAATGAGCAGTCTAGCGATTCAGCAAACGACAACAATCATCACAAAGAGCGTCCACAAGAGAGTAGTAGAACTGGCCACATTGCCCCCAAGTGGCTGGGTATGGATACACGATAAACAACAAATAAGAATAGCAAGGCTTAAAACTACTACGGGCATATCCTCAGGAGCGATTCAGGCGGAATTTTGAAAACTACACTTAAGTACAGAATACCAGAAACCACGAAAATTGGAAGACCGGCATATACCTGGAAAACCTGTATTCGATAGGACGTGGAGAGGAGCAAAAGTCCCATTGAAGTATGGCACGATATCGCACAAGAAAGGAGCAAGTTCAAACAAACCACTAAAAACCTGTATAGTAGCATAGTGGAGTCGGAATTTGAGACAAGCAGCGACTCGGACTGGGAGAGTGATTCAGAAGACCTAGTTCCATCAGACTTCCTCGGATTTAGTGATGAGGACCCCATCATGAGAGGAACCGATTCTGATGACGAGATCGGTCTGAGGCAACGACATCGACAACCCACAAAGCATCCCCAGCCAACAGATGAGTCAGCAATAACAACCCACAAAGCATCCCCAGTCAACCGATGATGATTCAGCAACACAAGTAAAGGGCGAACACGAAATTATTGCGACACATTCAACAGGGCATAACTTTTTTACCATTGGTTAAAATTCAACCAAAATTTGAACACTTTCTCATTTATGTGTATTGTGTACATGCTGTCAAACTCGAAGTCGTGTTTTTCGATTCAACGAAAATGGAGGTGAACCAACGCGAGTTGAGAGAACAAATTCTTTCCAAACACCTGGAATTTCCTGACCTGTCGCACCGGCAGTTGGGAAAAATGTTGAACATTCACCATTCAACCGTCTCCAGAGTGTTGAAGCGGTTCCAGGAGCGGTTGACGTTGGACCACGGCAAAGGAGCTGGAAGAAAACCGGGACCGGAGAACAAAAAGACGGAGGGAAAGGTGAAGCGGATGATTAAAGCAAATCCCAACGTCTCAAGCCGTGATTTGGCTAAAAAGATCGGCATGTCGCAGAGCTACGTC